TATAACATAACACTAGCCGTTATAATATTTTCAAAATAATCTTGACATGACAGGAAGTTCAAGGGCCAACACCATTGATAGTGACATAATTATTACGATACGTATATTGACTCAAAAAAGAAATTGGGAACCACAAGCCGATATAATTTGTGTACGAGCAACAAGAATTAGAACAAAATTCTGCAAATCATACGAGAATTGATTACGTTCAGATCTTTCCATCGTACCGCACATTAAAGATGAGCAACGATTTTAATGAAGCAATTCTCTGTCTGTCTCTGTGTTTGTCTGTCAGTCTATTCGTCAGTGAACTCCGGTGCTAGAATAGTTACTAGTACCAAAGTGAGTGTGTTTTTCTTCTCTTTAAGAGAAGAAAAACAAGACGATCGTTATTTCTGTCAGTGACATATTTTCTATTAAATTTTTGTCGCAACGAAGACCAAAAAACAAACAAACATCTTTAAATTAATGTAGCTACGCAGCTCAACCATCCTTTACGCTACAATTCAATTTCATCCAAGATTCCTCGACAAATATAAATTCGCGCGTGGAAGGTATCAGACAGTTTTACATAAAATCTGTGTGAATCCAGTGTTTGGTGCGGGCGCGTCAGTGCATTACACCCACTCAAAATCCAAATATACTTATAAACGGAGATATGCTCAAAATATATGAGGAGCGAAAGACTTGCAACCGATTTCAGATATCAGCATGCTTTCACTTGGCCATTGTGAATATTGGAGGCTGAGAGATGGTGAGTGTACCGAGATTTGGTTCTTGAAACGATTGATAACTTCGGTAGATATTACTGTTTTATAGAGAAGTACTAGCTTCTGCCCGCGTCTTCGTACGCGCAATCCCGTTTCTCCCATTCCCGCAGGATTTTCAGGACTTTTTTCTGTCATAAGAACCTTCTCCTGACGATAAAAAACACAACAAAAAAATATCAGCCAAATCGGTCTCGCCGTTCTCAAGTTATGGCGTGACAACGGGAAACGGGTTTCATTTTTATATATATAGATAGAAGATAGATAGATTATACATTAACAAACTTTATAAATATCGGATGCTTGTCCCTAGGTCCCTAGGTATTAGGATGAGCATGTTACCCTATGACATTCCCACTCGCCTCACCCGGGCTGGAGAAGTCATTGAATGATTTGTCCCCCTCAAAAAAAGCCTACAAAGGTAATTTAGACTTCGTAGAACCTACTTCATTTCGAACTGTGAAACCGTAAGTAATTGCCACTGTTTGGGGATTAAGTAAATCGCTAAATAAAAAACGATAAACGATAGAATGATCTCCATTACATTTCTTACACTGTGTACCTAGTACTTCAATTCCATTTTCATTCATTTGTGTTGATGTAAGCAATCGGGAACTGCTGAAGTGAAGATGAAACTTTCATCACGCTTACATATTCAGTGGGTGTTGTATTCTATTTTTTATAATCCTAAGATTGGATCATAAAATATTTTCTCTATCTGATGCAATATGTTACAAATTGCAATGCATTAAAGTTCTATAATAGCGCAAAGACTAAAGAGAAAAAGTTTTTCATTCTAGACCCTTCCAAAGGCAAAAAATCATGGGTTAGCATTAAGCTCTATCTAGGATTCTGTTAGTGATTCGCTTGAGATCTATCAGTAAAATCTGCGATTGAATATACATGGAAAAACTAGTAGCCAACCTGGTCAAGGCGACAATTCCAAAGATGGACACATTTCTAAACAATTTTCCTTACTCGCTTGCAATCAGAATGGTGTAAATTGATTTTTCTACCTAGTTTAAGTTCTTGAGTCTTCGGTTTTTATATCTAAACACTTTCTTATATTTGCAATGTAAATTGTTTCTAGATGCTTCTATTTATTTGGTTTATCTCATATCTGTCTATTAAATATAAGTTTTTCATTTAAAGGTTGTGTGTTTACGGGGATATTATTTGTTTAAGTAGAACTTGTATTGTGCATTGCGGAATAACTACGCCAAAAATTGAAATACGGAGCCAAAGAATAGCTCGACCAATGACTATAATAAAAATAAGCATCGAGTACTAATAAATAATAAATACGAAAAACACAATACCCTTTCTTCAGTCGGGTAGAGACGAACCCATAACTAAAACACATTTTCCAAAATTACGATTTTGCGTTTAAGACCTACAAGATAGATAACCGTACTGTAATACTTATACAAAAAGTAGACTGATTTCCAAAAGACCAGGAAACTAAGTGATTAATTAGGCACTAAAATGATGCTAAAATCAATCTGATCAAATTGCAGTTTCACGGGAAAATATCGACGGAAACGATTGATTTAGTGACGCAGCTAGAAGAAAAGAAGCGATTTCGTTCACGGTGTTAAAATTTCGTCTGCTGTTCATAATAGCCGTTTGACCGATATTTGCTTAACCGTAATCTTTATGAATTAACCGAACACTGTGTTCTTAGAAACCGCTGTCTTACATTTTACATCACACGATTTGTTTAATGTTTTAATTATTTTATTCTCTTTCACCAGCGCACCAGTTTTTGAGAGAATTTAATTAAACACCGAAATTGTTTTTTCAACGACTGTGATGGTTTGTAACAAAATCTAGCAATAGATATCAAATGCTTTTAATATTTTGGCCTGATTCTCACTTCATTATACCAGCGTCCACTCGCTAGAAACTATTTCTCAAAATCTTTATTTAAATCTCAATCTGGTTAAATCGGCTGTTAGAATCAGTCCTTCATGATCACCTGTTCAAATCTAAATAAATTGGGTATTCAAATAGCCAAAGTAACTACAAATCATAAACAGACACATACTACTAATAAACACGTATAATATTCATATGTTGATGTTTTAAAGCGTTTCATTAACTTGCTCTAGTTATGATTCATACGCTAAGTATTTGAAGACTCAATCAAAATTTCTGCGAATAGTAATTGTTTTAATACATAGCATTATTAAGGGAATCTTCGTAGCGTAGAGATTTCTCATGCATAACTCTATTTAACGACGCATTTTCGAGGAGATATTTTGCTGATGACAATTCTAATTGTGTTTTATGCTAGTCAATGAAACTTTAAAATTATGTCAAAGGAATTTTAAGGGCGCAAATGAATAAGGAATTACCAAATAAGCTGTTTTGTAAGTGAAATCGTAGATACCTATGCTTATTCTATTCTATTATAAGTACGTAAAAACTAAATTGGAACATACTCTACATAGGAGTGTTTGCTATAATCTCTGGCAGTTGGCAGGTGGTTTGAAGATCTCAGTTTTAAAGGTTCAGCTTTAGGAAGTTTTTTGCATCTATCCGTCACTTTGTCTCTACGCAAAAACACAAAACAAGAGACAAATAAAATGTCATCTTCAGTATGAAACACTCAAGACATAACTGCTTTAGTTATTTCCTAGATCTGGTTTAGATTATATTAGCAAACGCAAATTCCTAGCCCCAAGACAAACAATGACAAACCTAAATATATTCTCGTGGCTTACGACATATCACTGTTATATGCAGTGTCCTCATAATATCTTTAAATAACTCTTCTCGATACATTTTCTACTGAAAACAATTTCCCTTTATCCTGTCTTTATCCAAAAACTAATTGAAGAAAAACAGGTGTCGTATTTCTAAGCGCCATGTTTAATTGGGGCGGTGTTCCAAATTTAGAAAATTGACTTTTTAGTGTTGCCATACTCTTGTTCTGATTCACCGGCCGGTGCGGGAGTTTTAACCTATAAACGAAGAGAATAAATATATTGTGAACGTTCTGTAAGCTTGTTTCTTTCACGCTAATATATGGTTGAATCTGACGGAGTTTTTACGAGAAACAGGATTTAGAGGCTTATTTTAATGGCGTTTGAGAGCAAATATTTAGAAATGTCTCTTTGGGCTTGGTTGGCGATAAAACTGCTTGTTTGAATGCCACCAATTCGCAAGATTATGTGTTTTTAGAAAGTAGGTACCTACCGATAAATACGTATAATATTATTTGCACCCGTACCTGTGTATGAAGAACATCTATAGTTTAATGACTTGCAAAATATTCCTAAACTCATTACACGTAGCGTCTTACGAAGTTAAACACGGTAGCATATGTTTTAGCAGCTCATAATCCACTTCATATAGTAATTTATATCCCTTACAACTCAAAAAAGTGATATAATGGTATATTTCGGTACTTAAACATAAATGCGTGACAAATTCAGTCCAAATATACTCTTTAAATTCATTTCGTCGTTGGAAATTTTGCATAATTCGGAATAAACGCGGAGACCAAATAAACATGAAAAACGGAACGGTCCGTGGAATGGCGCCAAAAATCCCTACATAAACAAACATTTATGGGACTACCCACGTGAAACAATTTCGGTGATTCGTCTCACTATTGGGGAATATTACTATATTACATACACAAATGTAAGCAGACTTGTTGCTGGAATTTGTTTATTGAGACTAATATTTGTAACTCTTTGAAGGTGTAATACTTATTGAAGATGTAAACTTATCTTTTATTTGAAACAGTCGGTTGCCTAATCATTAAAACAAAAATGGAAGAAACCAAATTGATAATATCGCTATGTTTGTCCTCATTGTTCTGTGGTCCTTCTGGCCCTGGTTTTTCTTTTGTGTATTCTATTATAAAAAATATAAAAACGTCAGGCTGAGGCTGTCCTTCTCTGTGAGAAGATGCCATTTCTCAGCATTTATATAGTTGTTGGTGTCCCAAGAGGTGAAGGAGTAATTTTACGTCGTCATAATATTACACAGGTGTCACCGTCATATATTGGCCTCGTCACTTCACACCCTCGACCTTCACTGATGCATCAGTCTTACGTCCCACAGTCCTATGACGATAGATAGACACATCACATAATTTGTAATACTCCAATAATATTCATCAATGAATCAATATTTTGTAAAAAGATCTTACTGTATAAATATCATATGTTTTGCTAAATTACTCTCAGTTACTCGAAAGCATCCGCGACGGTGAGTCGGAAAAGAATCTCTCTGAAAAAGTGATTAGTGCTTATTCTACAGTTATTTTTTAAACTGTGTGCTGTGTTTTAGTGACTAGTTGTTACAAAAAAGAAACGAAAATGCTCATCATGGCTCCAGTGTCTTTTGGTAATTGATATTTTATTGTGTAGCTTAAAAGCATAAATTTTGGGAAACCTCAAAAGATGAGAAAGTGGTTTGACGAAAACTTGGTTTTGTTTAAAGGATATGTCGTGTCTTAATATCAAGGAAACCTTAGTTTTTGAGACCTTGGATATAAGAAAATGCTACTCAGCACACCTCAAATAGACCTACATGCCGAATTTCAGCTTTCTCCACCCAACAGTTTCAACTGTATGTTTTCTATCACATTTCTCAACGTTCATCGAGTTGCAACGCAAGATTTTCATATTTATATCTTTTGGTTTCAAAATTCTCAAACATCGGTGTTTTCTTGTCTAAATAATATCTTCAGTTGGCCATTCGTTGACGGACATAAGACGTTTGCGTGTCTACACGATGGGGCATTAGAAAACGTTGGTCGCGCATCGCAGACCTCTCTACCTACCTGCTAATGAATTAATTTGATTCTCAGATTCATATGTTTTTGTTTCCGTATGTGATCACGATAAGTGACGTGCGAATTTTGCATATCCGTTATCAGTGAACTGTGATGGTTGCAATCTGAAACTTGGCATTGCTATCAACGTTTGTCTTGTCAACAATTCAACCTCGCCTGTATTGTTCCCATCATCTTTAACTGCCAGGGGTCTAGACTGTAGTGAAGGGATAAGATAGCGGATATTTAAATCTGATCTTAAACGTACCTACTACAACATTACCAACTTGAGCAAAACTACAAAATCATTGCAGCAGAGTCATCGGAAACATTGCAATGTCAGATCTCTCATTCGTCAAGTGTTTTTGGCAAAACGTGCCAAGTTCGCAGTTTGTGTGGGAATCCTTGACACATTTCCTTATTTTGCTGCTCCTACATTCATTTTCAAGTGACTTACTAGACATTTTTTTAACATAAAATGATATCGCTAAAGTCAACTTGCTGACACTGCAAAATACTGTTTTTAAATTTTGTATTCATCATGAAACGATGTATAGATAATGTCATCGTCATTATCTACAGCCTTTAACCGTCCACTGCAGGTCTTGGCCTTCCCCTCGTCCATAAGAGGGTTTGCTAAGATCTCTACGTAAGAGCTTTGTTAGCTGATCGCAGATTTTAAATTAAAAGAATATTAGATAATCTGGAGTATTCTGGAGCTGCGGAAAACCTAACGGATTATCGGTGCTGCGGTATTAAGCAGGAGTAGGAACGGAGTGGTTTTCAGAATAAGAATAAGAACGTTTATTTGCACGCAGTATGATAATTAAAGGTGGTAAAATAGTCCCACATACGTCGCCTACTGTTTTCGGTATGCTCATTAACAATGATACTCTCTCGCCTCATTCGGGCAGGAAAAGGCACTGGATGATTGTCCATCCTCCAAAAAAAGGCTTATTAGATAATCCTACTGTCCGGTATAGGTAGGTACATTTTATGTCAATTATGTAATCTTTTAGTCTGTTTTTACGACTAGGTAACCCTTGGAGAGGGTAGGGATCGATGTAACAAATGTAACTTATTCGACCGACAATGGTAATATAATATGGTTATGGTTAATGGTAATAGTAATAATGGTCCCGCCTGGGTTAGGCGAGAGGGAGTGTCAGACTCTTACTGACTAAAATCCACCCCATTCCTTCTCCTGCACTTCGAGCCGGAGCCCCAGTAACCCGTTAAATTCTCCGCGACTCCGAATCGGCATCAACCCTTTTGGGCCCCATCCGTGACAGTTAGAATGTCTAAAACCTGAGCTAAACCAATCTCGTGTCCGCATTACTAAAATCTAGTCAAAGTTAAGGTTAAAATTACCATTAGTTAAGGTCTATTTCCTGAATATAATTGTGTAAAAATGCTAATTTTGTTCGCTAAAATAAACAGTGGGTTAGGTACTAGCGCTTTCTCTACCCACATTACTCATTGTCAATTTGAATATTTATGATTCACTTTTAATTTCTTTTTTGTTTTTGACCAAATAATATAATGGCTTTTACTGACTTTTAACTTTGATACTTAATCTTAAGCTATAAAATCCATTACTTTCATATTGTGCTTTAATAAGTTTGTCTTCAAGGTCCGAATGAATAGGTTGTTTTTATGGGTCGACGTGCTCGAGCCTACGATGAGGCTGCATCATCGCTTACCACTAGGCAAGATAATGGTCAAACGTCGGCCCTTCAAATATTTAAAAAAGCAGATTTTTTTGTTAATTTATCGACGGTGAGGTTATTCTTATAAGTAAATGTGATGTTCTATACTGTATTATTTAGATATTCTAAAGATGAATTACTTTTATTATTTAAGGAATAAGCACAAATGATACAACCTAACAAGTCTGGGGAAGTTGAAAAAAGTCCCGATATTTTATTCCATTCCGGTGATCGAACCCAGTCACTATCACGTATCGACAAAATATTTTACCTACTTCAAAATAACTAATTTCAAGACCCGAAAAGCCACAAAAAATTCAATCTTCCCTCGTTTCTTTCAGAGCACAAAAGAATGGCTCTAGCTACGGCGTCAGCAACGATGGAGTCCTCCCAATCCCTCATCCAATCAGAGACGAGGGTTCAGAGGAGTTTCCAGGAGGTCCAGGTCTCAGAACAGAGGACTATCAAGAAGAAGACCAAGTCCAGACGGCATAAGGATGAAGGGAATATATCGGTGGTGAGTAAACACATGTTTTTGGGGGAATATTGTACCTAAATATTCTCATTTTATTGGGTAAAATTGTAATAGCAAGTTTTCCAAGCCGAATTTTAGACAATATCTTAGCCCGCAACAATACACTGCTAAATACTTCTCTTTCTCTACATTGAATCTCTAAATTTATTATACATGCCATAACATCATGCCTTTTATCCCGGACGGGGTAGGCAGAGGTGCACATTACGGCACTTAATGTTACTGTATAAATATACTATAAACCCCATGTAATAGGGGGCACAATTCTAGACACCGTGCTAATACTGAGATTTTTTTAAAAACCCAAAATACTTTGCCACACCCGGGAATCGAAATCGAAACCCCTGGCCCGGCAGTCGCACCTGCGACCAATCGGTCAACGAGGCAGTTTATTAAACTAATACCCAAATTGTACTTATAGTCTATCAAATCTAATTAAAATACATTTTTTTTTGTTTCCAGTCGAAAAGTTCAGAGAAATTATTCAAGAAGATGAAAGCGGCGACGGACACGGACGCTATACCCCAGTGCGAGAAGTGCTCCCGGCCAGTGTACGCCATGGAACGGATCAAGGCTGAGAAGAGGATCTGGCATAAAGAGTGCTTCAGATGCGTACAGTGCAATAAGCAACTCACGTTAGTATTGATTTTAGGATTATTTTCGTTTGAATAGGGTGTTCAAGTATAACGTATGAAGGTATACTTAATTAACTCGTCGAGTACCGTCATTATAGACACAATATTATAGAACAATAGGTTGTGGTCACCGGTGACCGCTTGGTGTTTGACAGTTTAAATGATAGATTAATGAAATGATAAATAATGATACGTAGGTGAGCATCCTACAATGGTATAAAATAATATTTAATTTATATTTGCTGTATCTGTTACAGAGTGGAGACCTACCAGAGTGACCACACGACGTTGTACTGCAAGCCCCACTTCAAACAACTGTTCGAACCTAAACCAGTGGACGATGATGACGTCACTGACGGTATATATTTCTTAACATAACATAACATCACGCCTTTTATTCCCGAAGGGGTAGGCAGAGGTGCACATTATATACATTGTGCCACTGTACATAACACTCATTTTTCACTATTGATGTTATGAGTTCCATGTAATAGGGGGTGAGCCTATTGCCATATACCGGGCACAATTCCAGACTTCGTGCTACTACTGAGAATATTTAAAAAACCGAGTAATAGTTTGCCCGACTCGGGATTCGAACCCGAGACCCCTTGCCAGGCAGTCGCACTTACGACCACTCGGCCAACGAGGCAGAATATATTTCTTATTGTTTTTTAAACGTTGCCCTACACTAGAACTTTCTACTATGTGGCAGCTTTTACAAACTTACAATTTTACATAAATAATAATATACCTAGATCTGGAACAACAATGTGTACACAAAAATTTTTCCTTCCGCTAATCGAATCCGCAACCCATTTTCCTTAGTACGTAATTTGTGTATTTTGTCCCTGGTGGACGGAAATTCGCTTATGCTTTATGGTGTAGAACAATATCAGGGACAACACGAGAATTGTCTGATAAACATATTATTTAGTTCATTATGTATAATAGTTTTATTATTAATAGTTTGTTTCTTCCCCAGCAGCAGCCCCAAAGAAGCACCAGATGATAATCTGCGAGAGTAATCCAGTCGAGCTGCCGCCAGATGTCGTTAGAGGTTTGTAACTGTTGTCGGTTATGGTTCATAGATAGCGCTGCCTTTAGTGTAATAGCCGAGTTTTAGAAAAATATTACTTTCCATTATAACTACCAAATTTTTATTGTTTTAGCTGACAAACAAATCTTAACTTATTTATTGTACGATGTACATTAGTACATTTCAATTTCATTTAATTTATGTCTTTCCTTACCTTATACCTATTCTATGTAAGTCAATACATAGTATAAAACAAAGTCGCTTTCGCTGTATGTCCGTATGTATGCTTAGATCTTTAAAACTACGCAACGGATTTTGATGCGGTTTTTTTTAATAGATAGAGTGATTCTTAAGGAAGGTTTGCATGTATAATACATGCATATTGCACCCGTGCGAAGCCGGGGCGGGTCGCTAGTATATAATAAGAACAACTTAGACTATACAACCATCGATCGACGTAATAGTAAAAACACATTAGCTAAACCTCAGTTTCACATGTTTCAGAGCAACCGGTCAGCTAAAACTTATCTTATCTATACTAATATTATAAAGCTGAAGAGTTTGTTTTTTGTTTGTTTGTTTGTTCGCGCTAATCTCCGTAACTACAAGTCTGATTTGAATAATTATTTATGTGTTGGATAGTGCATTTATAGAGGATGGCTATAGGTTTTAAAACATCACGCTACGACCAATAGGAGCTGAGCAGAGCGTGTGAAACTGCGCGGAAGTAGCTAGATTCAAATAAATGAATTCAATTAGGCACTTTTAAATATTTACTAAATAAACACCACTTATGCGCTAACTTACTATCTAACCAAACCACTCGTTCCTGAACAGCATCAGACAAACCAGACCTTGGCCTCGAGGAACTCTCCCAGCTGGACGTCAAGTCCAAGTTCGAGGTGTTCGAGCGCAAAGCCAAGCAACCTGAGGAGCCCCTGCCACAGGAACCCAGGGTGCCGCGCGAGAAGACTGCCGCCATACTGTCCAAGCTTGCGAAGTAAGTTATAGGTCTTATGTATTTAATTTGTACAAAATTTGACAAGCGCCAAGTACCTATATTACTATAAAATATTTTTTTTGTCTCATTCATAACATCACGCCTTTTATCCCCGAAGAGGTAGGCAGAGGTGCATATTACGGCACTTAATACCACTGTACAATGTT